TGGAAATAAAAGAGTAAAACATGATTACATAGTCTTGTGGCTGAACTGAATCCATGAGGAGCATCTTATAGTATGTATCAGTACCATCGAAGAGAATCAGTTTTGTGCTGTCTCCAAATTTACTTTTCTTCTTATAGTTACATTTACATACAAGTTCCTGCCCTAGGATTTATTTCTTCTTAGTCAAGTTGTTTTTAATACAGGTTTTCAAGAATTACTAGAGAGTTTACTGAGCTTTAGACGGATTTTGGGTGTTACTGGATCGATCTAACTCATGTTCAAAAAGCAAAAGGATCACACTAACAACTTTTCTGGTCCTGATCTGTGAACAAACTGTTAACCTGCAGTAAATAGTGCATTCTCCTCCCAGACAAATTTAAATACATAGCCTTTTGGATACCTACATCCATAGTTCGTCCAAACACCCTCATTTTATTGAAGTACTGAATTGCCTCTTGCCATAACAATAAGAAATTATTTTGGAATAACAGTGAGCTTGGAAACATCTTAGAAATCACACAATAGAAATTACTCTGTTAGGCCATTTCAAAAGTATGAAAGCTGGCTGCTTAAACTGGGAAAATATATCCATTGCTATACTGTTTTAATTTGTAAGTTGTATCTAAGATTGAAATTGTTAGTAATTAACTGTGTCTCCCTAATTTCCCATTTAGATCCCTTGACTACTTTTTCGAGTCTTCTTCACACAGCCCACATGTATTCTTTACTTCATTCAGTTTCCGCTGAAGGCAGACTTTCTTCTTCAGTCTCAATGGGAGTTGTCCAAATCCCTGGTTTAATTTCCATGCTCTAAATCCATAGCTTTCCATAGGATACCCAGTCTGTCCTAGGTATAGGATAAATTTTGTCCAGAATTGCTGTGTTAGATCTTCAGTCTTCACAAAATCTTAATACTCCTCCCTGATCTTTATCACAGACAGCCGCAACTAAAGAGTCACTAGTGTGCTACTCTTTGTTTCACTGCGCAAAAGATCTCCCTCCAAGATTGAGGTGATGGGACTGCGTGTCCTCCTGCTGCTGGCAACCTCTCTGTGTTATCGTGACCAGCCACTGTCATGGCTGTCATGGTAGGTACTGCCCTTGTGGCCGAGAGGGAACTCCTTTTCTAAATTGCAGCACCTGGAGTACAGGGTCATAGCGGAATACTGCAGGTTTTCTTCAAAACCTGACTAGTTCAACTGCAGTTGAACTTGAAGTTGACTCTATATGTGACAGACATTAACCCCGAAGATCCCTGTTTTTCCTACTCACCTAATCCCTGTTTACCACAGGAATCCTGACAGTTTCTTGTTTGGAATCTGAGGGCTGTTCTCTTCAGTGAACAACAGACTTCTACTCTCATTTCCAGATGCCTGGACTTGACATCTCTCCTTGGCAGCATTATCCGTGGGTTTCTAAGACATTGGCCTGACCTGCTTCATTCGTACCTGCAATTGTTTCTTAGGCTCCCAAGTTCCTCAGAGTGGTTTTCTTCTTTCTATCACAGTTTTAAGCAGCTCTTCCACATCCAGGTCTTTCCCTTTTTTCTCCCTTTTGTATTGGCAAGTATTTTTCTCTGCATGCTCTCCATGGAAACTGACAGTGGGATAGGGAGGTGCCCTTTGATTTATCAGTAGTAAAGGTCGAGGGCTATCCTTCTGTGTCAGTGTGGTTTTTTTTTTTTATTAAAGATCTGATCACTGTCTATGTTCATGGCTTGGAATTTCACAAGCATTTAAAAGTTTAGCCTGTGCCACCCACTTGTATCCATGAGAGACATAAGTCTGGGCTGGGAACGCTGAGTTCATTGAAGCAGGAAAATGGGACTCAAGGCCTTTGCTTCCTGGTGCCACGGAGTCAGCAATTGACAACTCGGGTACCGCAGTCTGAGCAGCTTTAAAGAAAAGAGGGGATGACAACCATCGTGGAGTTAGTGGGAAACAGCTTCTCCCTTGGTTGCTTCATAGAAGTAATCTCTCCCACAACTTGGAGAGTCACTGGGCCTCTGAATGGCAAAGGCTGATGCTGGCAAAAAGCTCCCGCAGTGCCCATTTTCTGGTTCCAGTGGTGTGTGTTAAATGATGAAAAATGGCTATAAAATACTTACCACATCTTCCAAAGTATGTTCCTGGATTTATGATTGTGTTTGGCACTGTGACTGTAAGATCCCACAGGTTTACAAGAGCTTACTAGATGTACAAATCCTGAAAGCATATTTTTCATTTTACAAACCCATTCACATAATTAAATTAGCACCCCAACGGATAAACAGACATATTTATGTTGTAAAGGATTCCAGGACCTGCCCCTTGCTTAAATAACTTCATCTTAACTGATTCCTTACCTGTAATATCACATGGATGCTGGTTTCTGCCATCCCCAGGGTTAAATGTGGGGTTTCTGTTTGGACCACTAGCAGGATCTAGAAATCCTGAGCAAGTACGTTAAATCCCTGTAAATGGTATATCTACTTCTGTTCCTAATAAACTGTACAGAATAATAGCTGACTGTGTCTGTGGAATAGAGCTTATAAACAGAAATATTATCGTGTTTTCTCATTCTTCACAATTAGATCTAGATAGTGATCAGTAGAGCAAGTAAGCCTTCGTTGCATAAAACAGTCTGCATGTCTATTTGTCTCATAATGCTTTTGAGTTGTCTCAGAAGGTTTTGACTCATTGTACTTTATTGAAGCTTTTCAAGAAGTAAATAAGTTTGAAAATTGGGTAGACCAGTCTGCTTTGCGTGGCCATGCTGAGAACAGATAGGATCCAGCCCTTTGTAAGGCAAGCCTCATACACTACAGTCAAATGTTTGGATATTGACCTCGTGCTGTATCGGTGATTTTTTTAAGTGCAAAAAGTCTTTTGGATGTTGTATGAATTTTTCATGTTTTTGCTCTGTATTTAAATAAAGCAGTCTATGTAAGAAAGTGTGTGGAATGGATGATAGCTGAATGCTGTTTCCATTCATTAATTTTGAATGTTAACGTGTTGAGAGCATGTTCACGCATTTTTATTTCTCTTTAATCCAGACTTTCAAGATTGTGATGAACAGTCATGAAGAACCATATTTTACCCTGAAAATGTAGAGATGTGTCCCTGAGCCCGCAGATGCCTCCAACCTATCAAGAGGAAATATGAGTTCATAATATGGGAAGGAATTTAAAAGAACAAGGAATTAAATAGGTATCTGTCAGGTGTCTTGATAGTTATTTGTCCTTGTTACATCAAACATAAACCATCAATATAACAAAGACAAATAATTATAAAGATAACTGACATTAATATAGTGGTTGAAAGGTGGATTAAAATTAGAACTAAACATCTTCTAGTGCTTTGTGCAGAAACAGCATTTAGTATAATTCATTTCAGAGCTTGACCTTGGGTTTCCTGCATACACCTCTGATAAAGCTTTTTAAGGACAATACTGATTGTCAGGCTTTCCTCATGGTCTTCAGCTGTGTTTGGTGTAGGCAAAGCAGTACTTAAAACCAGAGGAGCCAGAGGGAAGAGAACTGTAATCTGCTTTTTGTGTTGGAAGAGAAGATGCATCATCCCTTCCATATTAGCACTGAACACCACTAACAGGCTTTGCAGCTTTCCATTTAGCCTTCACCAAAGGGATACATCAGTACAACTCACTGCAACTTTTCAGTTTCATTTTGTGTATCTACACGAATATTTTGTCAGTAGTGCCTGCTTTTAGTCCAGATCATGTTCTTAAATGCTGCCTGCGTTGTTTTATAATTCTCATTGTGCTTCTATTAATATTGTAGATATCTCAATATGATATATTATGTGGTACTAACTATACTATATATATATAGTATTAACATGCTACAAACAAGTGTACAAAAATGGGATTGTCTATGTAAAATGTGCTTTACAAAGTCATAAAAAGATACCCAAATCATCAGCTTTGTACGCTGTTCCTTTCAAACCCCTTTTTCCATCAAGAGCAGTATGTGGTTTCACAGTAGTTTTTCTTTTGCTTGACTGATTCCTACAGGATGCTTCCCAACAGGCTCATTTCCTCGGCAGTGCGCAGTGCTGAGGAGGGGCTGTTCAGTGTTTAGGAATTACTGCCACAAACAGGAAGCGTTTCATGCTTTCTATTCACAGTTACTTGAGGAGGGAAAGGACATGGGGCCCAGGGCAAGAGCTACTTTGTAATAGGAAAAGAAAGCTGACATGGCTTTTGGTTATACCCGTTCATTGTATTTGCTGCAGAAAGCAGGCGGCTGTTAAGTACGTGGGATATTCAGCTGGAATAGACTGACTCCTCAATGACAGAATGAGCAAATTATGCGGTTTCACTAACAATAAAGTCCTAATAATTACATGCAAAATCAAATAGATAATCAATGATGTCTTATTCTAAGAAATAAAATAAAATGCATGTTTATAGAGAAAAATGTTGCTTAAGGTGAGAAGGAAAAGGCATTATATTTCACAATAGCTGAGTTATAGAAATGCTACCTCTAAAAGATATGTTGAACTCCTTTAGCCATGAGTTTTCAGCTATGATGGGCCATGCAAAGATAAATACACAAAACTTTGCTATTCTTCAGATCCTTTAACATTTATTCTGTTCAAATCATGTAAAACAGAAAGGCTGTTTAACAGATGAGATGATTGCTGACTGCTGAAAATGCATCTCCTCAATTGCTATATAAACCAAGGAATTACAGGGATTAGATTTCTAGCCACATCTTCAAGAAGGTGTCAAAGCTTGCTGCCTTTATGCTGAATTACAGAAAGCTGTTACTTTAGATAACTTCCTGTAATTTACCAGCAGGATCTGCTCAGTGACTGCTGCAGTCAATGTTCTTTTCCTTTGCCTTTCTTTGTGGACAATGAAGCTTCTCTCTTTCATGAGAAATGTCGTAGTCTGACAGCAACATGCAGTGATCGAGTTCTGAGCACTAAAATTGAAATATCTTTTTTTTTTTCTTTTCTTCTTGTACTTTTTTTTTTTTTTTTTTTTTTTTTGAGAAGATGGGAAATTCTTACGCTGGTCAGCTCAAGACAACACGATTTGAAGAAGTGTTGCATAATTCTATTGAGGCCTCTCTCCGCTCAAACAACTTAGTTCCCAGACCAATCTTTTCTCAGTTGTATTTGGAAGCTGAACAGCAACTGTCATCACTGGAAGGTAGGAAAAAGTGGGATTTATATTTCTGCTCAAAGACAATTCTGTTGTTTGCTCTCCCAAGGCTCAGCACACACATTTTAAATCAGAATAAAACAGAAGTATTTAAAGTTTTTCTTTGGATTTTTTTATGATCTACAAATATACATATATATATGTATTGGAATTGGATTAAAAATACAAACTGCATTGTCTTTTATTTTGACAAAATTAAGCCACTCGCTTGCTCAGATTTATCGATATACATGAATTGAAGTACTAGGAATTGTTCCATTAAACATGTGGAGGAATCTTTGGAGATTTGGAATGTAAATCTGTTATCCCGTTATTTTTCATAAACTGCTGAAAGTTATGCAGTAAATGATGGTAAACACATGATAGATTTATAAAAGATATGCACCAAGACTGATTTTCATTGTGAATAAATACAGCAGAAATATTTTTAGCTTTTAAGAAGGTTTATAATCACTTTGGGCATGGTATTTTTAGTTATTCTGTGGTTGCAAAGGTGAAAATTTAGGATGTGTTCTCTCGTAAACCCTGCACAAGTTGGTATTTAACACATGGGATTTCTCACTGAGTTTTGGTGTGTGTTTAGAGAAGCCTGCTTTCTGAGTTCCATTTGCTCAGTCTTTTTTTTTTTTTTCCTTGGAAGTAGTATAATTTAAAGGAACTGTATAGATCTGATAAGCAAACTCATGGTACAATTTGGTGTGTTGTTATGTGTAGTAGTCTCATGATTTACAGTAAGTTTACTGCTGTGTGCAGAACACTGGCATGTTGGTGCAAGGTAATGTTTCATGAATTTCTTATTTAGCCATTTCTGTCACCAGGGTGGTGTTTCATTTCTTTTGACCATGTCTACTTCCCCTGTCATGCTTTGTTAAAGATAGCTTAGATATATATGTAATGAAAAATGCATAATGGCTAACAATCCACAGTAACAAGAAAGGATCAGCCCAAGAAGTAGTATTAGATAAAAGTATTTTGCACAGATTAAACTCTTTACTATTGTCTGACAGTAACAGCTGAGAAAACATTTCTTGAAAAAGTAAATCTGTTCAGAGCTCAAACATCATTAATCATATCTTCTTTTTAAAAAAAATTAATATAGGACATAATTATGAATATATGTTCATTGTTTAAATATATATGCTGCTTATTCCCTACACAAAGCAAACCTTCTATCAAACACTTCTATGAGAATTTCATAAAAGGATTTCCATGACAACCAACTGTGATGTCACAATATGGATTATGACATCAGTTGGGAAAGATGCTACAGGAGCAGATGCACTGTTCAGGAACAAAAGTGAGATTTCATACTTCTGTAACTTCTTTCTTTCAAGGCTTTCAAAGAAATTTCCAAACCTTGGGCTGATTCTGTTTTCTTTGCAGATAATAGAAAGAGGATTGAACTGTAATTAATTAAAAGTCTCACAACAGCCTGGCAGAGAACATTCCTCTCACGAAAGTTTCAGACAAGGGGAGCTCTGAAGCAACCTGTAATAGTTTTTCCTAGATTGTTCCTCAGGTGGGAGAGGTCTTCAAGCTGGTTTTGAGTACTCCGGCCTCATCATAAATTGAAATTCCACTTCTAGCTACGTGCATCCCTGTGCTCTGAGGGCCAGGAGGCATCTAAAACAGAGAGCTATCCTTGGGGTCTTGTATAAGCCCCTGTCCTCCCCTCTCATCATTGTCTTTCCTTGGCGACAGCTTTCTGACATGGTGATGTACTCAGACTATCCTTGGTCATAGCTGCCTGTCAGTCCTCAATACAGTGAGTGTTTTCCTGTGGTGAAGCAGACATGATATAAATAATTTAGACAAGGTAGTGCAGTTGGGGCAACGCAACCCAAGTGTTTTGGCTTTCCATTTTGTGGACTGGTAACACGTTATAGATGTTCCGAGTAGCATTTGGCAACAAAACCAGCCACTGGTAAACAAAGCTGATGTTGCACACTTTTGTTTCTGATGACATTACAATATCAAAATTGCTAGAGAGCCTGACAATTGAACACACAGTCAGTTTAAGAAAAAAAAATTGGATTTTTTTTTTTAAGCTTTATTAATCACTTCTTGCAACTTGTCATTATTTTTAAGTTTGATTTTTGTTTAAAAAACATTTTTCTTTCTCCTTTTGATACATAGATGTCCATGTAAACCAGAAAAAAGTACCTAGCCACTAAGACCAGCTTAATATCATTACATAGCTGTCATGATAATTTATGCTTAAAAATAATTTATTTGCGCGAAAGAGACTGCAGCGTGCCTAGAGACAATTTAAATGAACATGCTGGTCTCTTTTTCCCTAGATATTAAATTTTTTGCAAGCAACTTGCAAACAGTTATTTTCTAGTGGGTATGATTTTCCAGTCTACACATTCAGATTTGAAAAAACACATACATAGTATAAACGTATGCTCTTATAGTCATTTATACAATTACATTTGCCTATAAAATTATTTGTAGCTATGTAAATTAAAAGTACCATGTTCACCTAAGTTGGTTTAGGATCTTTTAGGTTGGAAAAGACCTTTAAGATCACAGAGTCCAACCATTAACGTAACACTGCCAAGTCCACCACTAAACCACATCCCTAAGCACCACATCTACAAGTCTTTTGAACAACTCCAGGGATGGTGACCCCACCACAACCCTGGGCAGCCTGTTCCAGTGCTTGCTTCTTCGGTGAAGAAATTCTTCCTAATGTCCAATCTAAACCTCCCCTGGCGCAACTTGAGGCCATTTCCTCTCGTCCTGTCACTTGTTACCTGGGAGAAGAGACCGACCCCCACCTCACTACAACCTCCTTTCAGGTAGTTGTAGAGAGTGATAAGGCCTCCCCTCAGCCTCCTCTTCTCCAGGTTAAACAACCCCAGTTCCATCAGCTGCTCCTCATAAAACCTGTTCTCCAGACCCTTCACCAGCTTCGTTGCCCTTCTCTGGACACGCTCCAGCACCTCAGTGACTTTCTTGCAGGGAGGGGTCCAGAACTGCACACAGTATTCAAGGTGCGGCCTCACCAGTGCTGAGTACAGGGGGACAATCACTTCCCTAGTCTTCCTGGCCACACTATTTCCCACCAAGAAAAAATTATGTGTATATTGAAATATTCGCAAAACTTATATTTAAATTATACCTTAAGGAGAGAAGAATTTTCCATGTGCTGTGTCTTAATCACAACTGTGTAAGCGTAAAAGTCTAATAAATCTTTTGTGAGAACTGAAAATAATTCCTTAAAGGAAACAATGGTGCTTATGGTATCTATGAATAAATTTAAATTCAAGAAAATACGGACAAAATCTTCACAGTATATCTATTGGTTTGATGGAGCTACATCAATGTATGTCAGCTGACTGCCTAGTTCTGTGAGCACAATGTAAGAACTGTGGTTGTGAGTCCACTTTTACCATCATCGTGTCTCTGGTTTTGAATGCTTGGTTGTGTTGGTTTGGGATTGTTTAAGACAACAAGATGTGGAACAGGCACATGCAAACAGAGAGTCTTTGAAGTGGCCCTGCTTTGAAAGTAAAATGGAAGAAGAAACTGTAGATCTTTTTTAAAACAAGCAGCAGAAACCCTAATGATGGTCTTTACAGGTGACAGCAGCTCATTCTTGTGTGTTACAGGTACATATTTGCTCTTGTAGTCTTTTCATTTTTGACTTGAAAGTGCTGTACCTCTCCTATTTGTTAGTCTCCATGTCCATTTCTTGTCTCTGTCTTTTAATTTATTTTTTTTAACAGTTTACCACTGCTCAAAGGGGGAAATCCCACATCCTGCTCACCCCACTCCTCCTAGACGTACATTCTTATTTGCTTCTGTTTCATTAATTTTGGCATTTTTTTGATCTTCCACTGAGATAATTTAATACATCAACACTGTAAAAAAAAACTAGTTGTTGTTGTTTGCTGAGTTAGTTTCCTGCTGGGTTAGCAAGCTGGGAATGGCTCAGCACAGGCTCCAGTAAGTGTCAGAGCTGGCACAAAAAGGAAGGAAGGAACTTCATGGCTGGGAGTGTGGGGAAAGAGAGGAAAGCCAGACTCACTCCTTTTGCATTGCATTTGGATGTTAGTCAAGGTTAAGTCGTAACACATACCTTACCCCTGACTTAAATAGCAAAGATGGAGAGCTTCGCTTTTCCCTTTGTTCACTGTCAGCGTTTTTGTCTTTAGACTACACCCTTAAAACAGTCATGTTTAATGTTCTGTCCTTATCTGTGTTTACCAGGACTGAAGCTTGATGTTTAGATACTTAGAAGTAAACATACCCTTCAAATTCTCATCTAGATTGGGGTGTAAGTCCTAATAACCTTTAGAAACAAATCTTCAAACTCCAGATTTACTTTCTTCAGCTTCCTCCCCGATTCTTATTTATCCTGTAGTATTTGTTTAGCTGATTCCACAACAATTAGTCAATTAAAAAAAAAAAAAAAAAAAGATATATTTTCAGGAGGCAACAAAAAAATCCTTGATGAACATCCTACGGGTACCTGATCCAAAGTCAGTTGAAGCAAAGAGAGTATCTCCAGTTGATACTGAGCATCGGAGGATGACTGCAGTGTGCTTCATTGTTTTTCTGTTTCAAGACTAAAAGCTGAATCAGCAGAATAATGTAGGAGCCTAAGTGCTATTTTGTGAACGGCTATTCGGCTTCTTGCTGATCCTCAAGTACCTGCAGCCCTTCACCACCCAACTTTGCCAGTGAAAACTCGTTGTGTTTGCTGCAGGCACCTCCCTACAGAAGCCAAGAAGCTAGAAGCCTAAGATGTAAACCCCACTGGGTTCACTTAGTCCTTGTGCCCTATCTCTGTCATGTGTAAGGCTGGATCTTGTCTGAAATTTTCCTTAGTCCTGTCCGTAGAAGTGTTCTCCCCATTTACCATTTAGCTCTGCTTGCCAGCTTTGTCCCATTTGCCATGGGTGTGTCTGAGCCGTAAGAGAGGATAGAGTCATTGTTCAGTATGATTTGCTGGAGCTGTTGCATTATGCATGAAAAATTACTGTCCTATGAGAGGAGAGAAGGAAAGAAGCAGTCTCCACCAATAATATGCAGGTGAATACTCTTAACAAGCAAGCTATCAGGTAAAGATGCTGATTTAGGTAGCCTGTGCACCAGGAAAGTGGTTTACAGCAGAGAATCTGAAGCAGAAACACATAAAGTCCTCTAAAAAATGAAGCCTACAGTATGTTCTTCTCTCCAGCATTCAGTATTGCCTCCTAGACTAGCACAGTCCATACATAGGCTGCTGTGAATTGTCTTCCTCGACATCTGCCTTTCCTTGACATTGTACCGCGAGTGGCAGTGCTTTATGCAGAGCTCTGGATTCTGGTAGGAGACAGACGGCCTGAGAATTAGGTGTTCTTATCGTGACATCATCTGTGGTGAACTTAGTTTCAAGCAGGAACTGTTTCTTCAGTTTCCTGTACAACATCAAGGACATGGTCAATACCTAATTAATAAAATCTGTACTTGGCCTGTAGCCAGGGCATTCTAAAGTGCTAAGAAGTGATAACTTCGGGTTTATATCGGCTGTTAATATTATAAACAGAGGATACAGTTACACTGTTGTGATCAGCAAGAGTTCAAACACCAGGAGTTAGGCCTATAAAAATTGTGAGGTTAGCTTAAAAATACTGAGATTTAAAAAAATAATAAATTGAGGCTTCTTTTTATTTGTTCTTTGGGGTTTTTTTACTTTCTTAGGTGCAGTTCGGTCACGCTTTTGAAATTTTTTTACACAGGAGCTAAAAGGTTTATTTTTCTCATGAAAGACATTCTATTGTAAGTGTGACTGGAAGTTGAAGCTTTAAGGAAACAACAAATATATTAAGAGTTGGCAACAGTAAAGTCATTGTCAAATGGAGAGAATCCAGTTTGCTCTAATACTTTCTGTAACTGGGTCACCCTGTTCATTCATCGGTTTGTTGCCAGCATTTTCTGTTGTCTAAGTCATTTATGCTATGATAATTTGTAGCAGGCAACAAAGCAGATAATGAGGAAGAAGAAGAAGAGGAGGAGGAAGAAGGCTCAGAATCAAGTAGTCCTCCTGTTTCTTACCAGATGAAGCCTCCCCCAGAAGGATGTTGCACGACTGATGGTAAGAAATGCACTGAACATGATGTCAGAAGGCATTTGCCCTGTTGAAAAGCTTAGGATTGGGGCCATTTCCCCTATAATTCATCAGAATGAGATAATCTGTACGGTATAGAAATCCTAAAAATGTTGGCATTCATTACCTGCGAAAAAAAGCTGGATTGCTCTTGGTTGCTCTTCTATTTGACAGGGTCTTTGCCCGATGTGTCAGATAAGCATTTGTGCTGAAACACCTGGCATGAGCACAGAACTTCTGTTCTCTTAAGCAACGCAACATTTAAAAGGTTGAGTTTGCAGGCATGGTGTCTTCTAAAACGAATGTAGTAGTTCTTATGGCTTTGTCATAGCTCTTTTCTATTTAAAGTGTACCTCATTCAATGTTGCTGTAAAAATGTTCAAAAACCCAGGAACAGCCAGTGAAATTCACCAGCTATTGAGAACTATTATCTCCATTCTTGAATGTCTGATCTAAGTTATGATGATGTTGGTAAATAGTCCCATAAATATGTACGTTGCAAAACATCATCAAGAGAAACGTCACTGTACATTTTCAGATTTTTTTGTTTTGTTTATTGTACTGATAGCATCTGTTTATGGCTGACCAAAAGGCAGGGAAGAAAATTATCTCTTAGTTTGCCCTTGACCTCAGAGGACACAACTTTGTTTTTCATTAAAAATATAGGACGTCCTTTAATGAAAGCAATTGTGAGTATTAAATAAAAAAAAAACTTGTCAACTTAAAGTACATTGAATTGATTTTTTCTAGGTTTCTGCCAAGCTGGTAAAGATTTGAGACTGGTTTCTATTTCCAATGAACATATTGAGGTACCATCAGGGTTTTTACTTGTTGGTGCAAAGTCACCAAATTTACCAGATCACCTTTTAGTGTGTGCTGTGGATAAAAGATTCCTGCCAGATGACAATGGGCGCAATGCCCTGTTGGGTAAGTGTCTGTGATTGCAGTAAGTGGATTCTTCTGTGGGCTACAATTAATAGCTAATCTTTTTTTGCAGAGTGAGTTCAGCAGATCTTATTTCCATTCCATGTCTGCAGTAATGCTCACTGGTGATGCACAAGAAGATAACAACTCAAAGCTGGCTATGTTTGCTTTGGAACGATACAGAATTCATTAGAAATGCTTCATCACCTTCTGTCCATTAGTCCAAGGCTAAAGTTGTTGTCCAATCTGTTTATGTCCTAGTTGCTGGAACTGCACATCTGGCACCTGGACTAGTTGAACTGCAGCCTGTCTCTATTGTAGCTTTCCAAATACTGACATGGACAGACTGTAAGTCTGTCAAGTGGAACTTTCAGGCTATTGTATACATGGAAACAGTTTGATGATAGTTTGGACTACAAAAATGTATGAACTTTTTGATTTATCTCTTTGAGAATAGGGATAATATTGTCCACTGTGTTTAAACTATAGCATGGGTTCTGGATCCTAACCTATGACTTTTTGCTATTATCACAATATAAATAAATAAAAATGATTATAAGTTGAAATTTTCCTCTATGTATAATCAGGTAATGCTATGTGCTTGATTAATACTATTTGTAGGATACTTGTGTTTCTCACTTTTCATCTATTTAGAAGTCTAACTGCTGACATAAAACTAGGTGTTTCTATCTATTTTTATTATAGCCTTTCTGGCAGCCATTAACTTTATCCAAATCAACCCAAATAGGGAAGTTCTGCAATCATGTGAATGAATTAACTGTATATTAATGTTATTAAAACAGAACAGTTTTTATATTGGGAAAAGTGATATATAATCTGAGGGAGAACTCCTTTTTCAATCAGGTGGTCTCAGGTTCTTGTGTATTATTTTCTTAATTAACTAAGTTAGTTAGTAAACTAAACTTGGTTAGTTAACTAAAAAGTTCTGCATCATATATATGTGTACCAGTCCAAGCTTTAAATAACAAAAAAAGGAAACACTTTTTGTGTCTTTTAACAGTTTTCTTTCACAAACACTGAGGGATATGACGTGAACCCAGTTGGTATCTCAGTCTGAGCAACTCTGTGAAGGTGCATAATGTAATTCTACGTACAGTAATTTCTTTCCTCGCATGATCTTGCAGAGTTGGATTTGTCACAGTACATTCGACCAGTGACTGTAAAAGAATTAAGAGGGTTGTAAATCACCCATGTGTTGTCATTTTAAAGATAAAGACAGGAATGTTGTACCACTCAAGTCATTCAGTGCTAGCACTATTAACAGCTTAAGCTCCTTAGGCTGTTAGCAGAGAGGAAGTAGTGTATTTGTTAATTGCATGCTAAACAAGAACAGAAAAAGGCAACAGGAACATAACCAGGAGGTTTTTATGCTACTTGCATCCTTGGCTTGCTTACTTAATACATTTTAGTTTCCTGAAACCATTTAAATGCTTATTTTTGGCTGTTGTTATACACCTAAACACCAGCGTTTCTGTGATTCTATGAATCACATTCTTTTGCAAAGAATTTTAGTAATTCTGTAGGATGACTTTTGTGTATTCTATAACAAGCTTAAATATGAAAGATTTCCAATACTTTAAGATCCAAAGTCTTCATCTAGCAGCTGGAAATAAAATTATATTCCTGGTCCCTAATCTAATGAGAAGACAATATATCTTATTGACATGAGGGTAGCATAGTATTCGTACAGTAGATCATACTGTAGATAGGAAAGATTGATCCTGGTTTGCATACTCTGATGCAAGTCAAATCAGGGTGAGTAGACATGAATAGTCTCACAGTTTCAGACACATAGTGAGATAAAAGACAGGACTATTCTTGCTTTAAATTCTCTGTCTATTAGTGTAACACTGTCACCTCTGTCTTGTGATAGATTTAAGATGAAAACATTTAATATGAAGAAAGGAAGCTCTTTGTATTGCTTTGCTTTAAAAGACATGATAGAAGGCTTATTTTTGGTATTCTGAGTTTAGGCTGTTCTCCTTCAAACATTTTGGCCTTTTGAAACAACACAGAAAGTGATCCCTTCAAGCCTTTCTAAGTTTAGAGGGAAATTGAATTGGATTCATTCTGAATTGAGATAAGCTGTCATCATGAGTCAGAGTATATCCCACACTTCTGGTAAGGATTATTGGTGATACAGGCGCATCACTTGTAACCCTTCAATCCTATTGCTTTTCCTTAATTTCATGGTTTTTCTCCTAATATACTGTGCTTATTACTCAGAACTGTAGATTTTTTTCCAAAACAATTTATTGGAAGGGAAAAGACACTAATGAATTACCTGATAGTTTCCTGATTTCTCATGGTCTGCCTGCATATGTTCATGAAGATGCCTGTGGAGTGTACAAAAATTCCAGAAGAAAACAGGAAATGTCTCTGTAGTTTCTGGGCCAGTTTTTGACTTATGGTCTTGTTCCCATTAGGGGCTGTTGATGTGCCTCTGGGGCATGTACCAATTTATTGATTATGCTAATAAGTTGTCCCACCATCAAGGCATATGTGCTTGTGATTTGAAAGTCATTTCTGTTGGAGGTTGGTTTGTTTCTTTGTTTTTACTATTGATGTATTATTCCATAAAAAAATTTCCCGTTTTCTAGAAAAGATTATATTTTTGGCAAGCAAAAAGTTCTCATGTCTGAGCACGTACCTCAACTGATTCTGTTAATCGAGTCAGATCACAGGCTAACTACTCTGCAAACTAGATTCAGCTTTTTGCCTTTAGGAAGCTGTTTCTTGGTTTTTATGTGACCTAAAGGCATGCTTAGATGGAGGAAGCACTTCTGTGATAGTGTGATGTTTGTTGTTTCCTAATAAAAGCAGCTAACGTGTACAGCTCCCAAAGTTTTTTTCTCTTTTGGGTTTTTTTCTCCAGTTCTCACTCTTAAGGAGAGTCTCTCATGATAAACAAAGCAGCTATTCACCCACCATTTTCCTTCCCAAAAGACCAAACAGCTGCCCACTTTCCTAGCAGGGAATAAGAAATCCTTTTTTTTTTTTTTTTCAGTGGATCCCTGTGGTCACAATGACAGAGGAAAAGATTAGTTTGCTTGCATTGTAAGCTGTGTGTAAGATGAAAACGTTGTAGTATAAACCACTGTGGCTGCTTCTGTTAAAATGTGCAGTGTTCCATTGGGCTTTTGTAATAGTAGTGAGTTTCTGTACAATGGAGCTCTCCAGCCTGACCATCTTAATTTCAGTTATATTTTAAATTTAGGACTTCGGTCTTCAAAGGGAGTGGTACTGAGTAGGTGGGAAAAATGTGGAGCATTGTCAATGTTTGTGTGATTTTTCTTGTGAGTAGAACTAAAAAGAAGAAATACTTGTGCTGAAAAGTTGAAAATATAACCATTCTTTGTTTAAGCAAGCTGCCAACTTTCCTCAGAAATATTAACATCAGCTAAAAACCCGTTATTCATTTAAACGAGAAACAGGAAGAAAATTATCTGCCAATTTATGAAAGATTAGATTATGAAATATTAGATGGATATCTTTCTATCCTGAAGTCCTGTCTTTATCCTTAGCACAAACTCACTGTTGATCCAAAGGAACCATTTCCCCAGTGAGAAGGTAGGTCAGGTTTCATACCCTTTTAGTCCAAGGTCCTTCTTCTGAGCACAAGGTCCCTACTGTGGAAGAGCTTTTTAAATTACAGGCAATTGATCATTGTGATGTGAGCAAATTCAAGCAAATGCATATGATAAAATACCCGATACAATCACCTTCTGATTAAACAATCTTCAGAGGGTAACAGCCTTAAGTCACTACTGAACTGAGTTGGATATGAACTGGTGACCTAAAGGTGAAAGGCTTTTAGCCCCTAAACTCCAGGCATTGATTTCTAATTCTCTTGTGAAATCAATCCCATGACATAGATATATTGAGTCACCTTATGGCTGCCCTGACTTCTTTGACCTTTGTCCTCTCTATAATGTATGGAAGAATATTTAATGCAGCTTGTTTATGAAACAAGCTGTCCCCTCTATCAGCTGCTGCCTCAGGCCGTGACACATGAACAGGGCATTCAGAGGAAGGAGGAGGGTGAAATGTTTGGATTCTCCCATGTTAGTCAATCTGCTACACAAAGTGCTATGAGCAAGGTTGGCAAAGCCCTGCAATGAGTAGTGATTGAACAGCATTTTATTGCATTGAAAGTATAAGATCACGCTGTGTTCTGTCTGTGATGTCAGGGTTGAGCTGTATTAACAAAGCAATGGCTGTCATCAAAGGGAGCGTCGGTTAGAATGAATGGGATGAAAAAGTCTTGGCAGGAGCTTGCAAGAAAGGACCCTTAGTCTGACTCAGAGGAGCTGGGGAAGCTTGAGGTGAAAGATGATAGTTTGACTTAAAAGGAAAATTTAAAAATAAACTTGTAAAATGTTCTCCAAGAACTTTTCAAAACAAGTGGACAACTCAGATCTCTTTCATCCTTACTAGGCCTCAGCTGTACGCTATATGTGGTATAAACTGATTTTCCATTAGACTTCACAGAGCTAAAAATAGGTGATTAGAGCAAAAGGTTATTTCAGGTAAATCTGGTATGGGCAGATGATTATTTCCAAAAGTTACCAATAATAACTGATCTAAAGTCCACATGAAGAGATTTATGTCCACTGTCCAACTTGTGTTGAACAACTATTTCTACCTGTGGCTTTGGCAACTTGCTGGAAACTCCCAGCAAAATGATAAAACATAAAAAATGTGCAAGTTCTTCTATTTTACTTTTGGAAATGCTCCCTCCATGCTTGTATTTGAAAACACGTAAGGACTTGTAAGTGGCAGCCAGGCAAAAATTGCAGTGGTGTCGGTCATACTCTGTATGCTGCCAAACGTATGTGAAGTTTTCATTTACTACCAGGCGCATTTTTCATTATTTCTTAATCTGCATAGAATGCATGCAAACTCTACAGCTTTTGCCACATCCGTTCTAATTTTGTTTCCTTTTGTTGTTGCTTTTATTGCAGCTACTGAAGGCTCTGTGATGTTAGACAGATGCTTTTGTGCTGACTGATATAACACAGAGGATTCTGCAGAGTCATGACTCGTCCTGATTTTATGAGTCATAATGACCTTTATCATCCTACCGACCAGGATCAGAGAGATAATAGGCAGCTTTCAATAGTTGTTAGCCACTTGTTCCCATGGCTACCAGACCAATTTCCAGACGAACTTAGGTTTTTAATAAATTCTTCTGAGCCATTTGAAAACTAATGAAAGTGCTCAGGTTGTAAACTAAGCAACAGGTGTTTACAAAGCACTATATTTCAGTGCTTGTATTTTATAGAAGGAAAAAGGTATTGACTATTAATCTGAAAACTTGTTTGAGATATGTGATTGAAATAATAATTTTCATAAATGGCTCTTAATTTTGTCTACCGTATTATTTATCCTTTAGTCCAGTTATTTATTTCCAATGTTATTGTCCATATTTTATGTGAAATATATTTCCTTTATTTTTGCCATCTTCCAATTCACTGAAAGCACACCCTTTCCATTTCAATTCCTATGATGACACACAAAAACATTCATTAGATATGATTAAAATAAAACTTCATGCTTCA